CACGCGGTTGCACCACCCCGCGCTCCGCCGCTGTGCCGCCCCTTCGGGCTATAGCACCGCGGCCCGCGGTCCCTGCGACCGTCCCGAGGTCTTCCGTCGTCACCCCGACCTGCCCGCCGCCGCCGCGTCGCCCCTTCAGGCCGTAGCGCCGCGGCCCGCAGTCCACCGCCGTCACCGCGCGTCGACCTCCCGTGGTATGCGCCGCGCCGTCTCCCTTGGCGCGGGAACGCCACCGTCCACGCCGGTCTTCGTCATGCTGTCAGGGTTCTTCGTCTACGTCGAGCACCGCCGCCGCACTCCTAACCTAGCCGCCGCCGCCGCCTTCAGGCCGCCGCTGCCGCTCTTCTTTGGCCGCCGCCGCCGCTACCTTTGTAGCCGCCGCCGCCGCCCGTCCACCCCCTTCGTCTTCGTCCAGCTCCAGTTCGTCGCCAGCGTCGCCGTCATCTACCCCGACCGCTTCATCTACTCCGACAACCGCGGACGACATTGGCCCCGCGCCGATTGGCGCCGCAACCGTCGTCGAGTCCTTCTCTGCTGGCCTCTCCGACTTCTCCGACATGGTGTACAGCTCGTGCAGGTCCCTCGTCTACGCATGCCCGGTGCTGGCAACACCGCCGCGTGCCTTCGTCCACGACGTGTCCCCGGGCCTGGCAAGCCTGGCGCGGCGCTTCGTCAACTTCGTCTTCGTCCGTCTACGCATGCCCGGTGCTGGCAACACCGGTGCGTGCCTTCGTCCACGATGTGTCCCCGGGCTTGGCAAACTCGCCGCGACGCGTCGTCAACATCATCTCCTTCCTGGCGCACCACTACTTCGACACCACTGCGCCCATGCTAACTCGGCGCCCCCTTGCGCCCGCGGCTCCACGGCGATTTCCTCGACACCGGCTACCCCGACTCGACATCAACCACGGCATTCTTCGCACGGCTACCTCGACCACGGCTCCACCACCCACGCTCTCGGCTACATCGACAAACGGCACAAAGGGCTACCGCCTGCTTGAGCAACCTCGTTGGTTTCCACTCCAGCCACGACTCCGCGATGCATCGACCGTTACGACTGTGGGGGGTGTCCGTCGGCTAGCCTTCGGATTCTTCTCCAGTCTCACCGTCTGCATCGCTACCGTTGTGACTGCGGGGGGATGTTGAGTAACGTGATTGTATTAGGAAACATAGGTTAGACTAGGAAATATTCTGGCTTGCCTTGTACTCCAAGTAGATCATTGTACTCCTATATATATGCCCACGAGGCTCAAGCAATACAACAACTATTCCACCAATCCCTCCCCTTCTAACACTTCCAACGCCAACACCGTATGAAGTAACATCTGACATAGTAATCAATGACCGCATGAATGAGTTTATTAACTCACTGACTAACGATGGGGCCGATCAGCAGCAGCTCAAGGTGGTATCTGTTCTGGGATCTGCTTGTCTTGGTAAAACTACATTTGTTAGAGTGTTGTACAAAAGGATTGGGTTGCAATTTGATTGCCGAGCTTTCATTCGAGTGTCCAAAAACCCTGATATGAAGAAAATTTTCTGGGAGATGCTCTTGCAATTAGAGCGGCAGCAGTGCCCACCACAATATTGTAAGGAGGTTGATCTCATTAACATGATAAAAAATTATCTACAAGACAAAATGTACTACTGTTTTTCTTCATCTACAAATATACTAAATCCCCTATGCCCTAAAGCAATATGATTTAATTACTGGTATGCAGGTATTTAATTATTATTGATGATCTGTGGTCTGCATCAGTATGGGATATTATCAATCGTGCTCTTCCAAAGGGTAGTCATGGAAGCAGAATAATAACCACTACACAGATAGAGGATGTTGCTTTCAGATGTTGTCGTTATCAGTCAGAGCTTGTTTTTGAGATGAAACCCCTAGATGATGATCACTCAAGAAAGCTATTCTTTAACAAACTGTTTGGCTCTGAAAGTGATTGCCCTGAACAGTACAAAGAGATTTTAAATGAAATTGTTGAAATATGTGGTGGTTTGCCACTTGCAACAGTCAGCATAGCTAGTCTTTTAGCAAGCCAGCCTGCCCTGACAATTGATCTATTGACTTACATCCGTCAGTCATTGAGCTCTCTTTTCTCCGGGAATCCTACCTCAGAAAGAACGAGACAAGCACTAAAACTTAGCTTCCACAATCTTCCTCAATGCTTGAAGACATGTTTGCTTTATCTTTGTATGTATCAAGAGGGCTACACATTCTACAAGGATGATTTGGTGAAGCAATGGATGGCTGAAGGCTTCATCGATTCAACAGAAGGGCAAGATGTGGAGAAAATTGCAGAGAGCTATCTCAATCAACTTACCAGTAGAAGATTCATCCAGCCTATACGTATCAACTTCAACAATGAGGTGGTGTCATGTGCAGTTCATGGTGTTGTGCATGATATTATCGTACAGAAGTCCGCAGAAGAGAATTTTGTTGTTGCAATAGACTGCAATGAAGAGAATGTAGATCTTTATCACAAGGCCCGTCGACTCACTCTCTTTGGCAATCCAAGATATGCCAAGACACCAACAAGAAGCATCATAGAGTCACAAGTTCGATCACTCGCTTTTTTTGGATTATTTGAGTCTATGCCTAGTATTACAGAATTCAAGTTTCTTCGTGTTCTAAACCTTCACATATCTGGTTATGGTGGCTCCAAAGAACTCGGCCATGACGACAACCCTGTAGACCTCAGTGTGATTTCAGAACTGTCTCGCTTGAGATATTTGAAGATTGCTTCTAATCTCTGTATAAAACTGCCAGACTATATGGGAGGGCTGCATTGTTTGGAGACACTGGATATTATGGATGCAGTACTCAAACTTGGAATCGGTGTCTGTCTCCCGTACTTGTTGCACTTGTATCTCGGACTCTGTCATGAGAGAAATGTGCAGAATTGGAATGACGAGATGTCCGAACTTGAAAATATGAAAGACCTGCAGGATCTTCGTTTTACCTTTTCTTCTAGGCAGTCTTCAACTCAGCAAAAAAGCATGTTAATTTTGCGGGATTTTATCAGCGGACATGACAACCTGAAAACAATAATAGTTGCTTGTCACTCCTTAGATAAGGTGACTGATGGCCCTTCAGATGCAACCTTTTCATGGGATAACATGGCACCTCCCCCACTCCTCCAGAGATTTGAGTTTTCCCCGCAAAGAGGCTGCATATTCTCACGAATACCTCCGTGGGTTGAGAAACACAGCAACCTAAGAATTTTGAAGATTGCAGTCAAGGAACTTCAGATGATTTGTGTTGGTATTCTCAGAGGACTGCCTGCTCTCACTTCTTTGTCATTGCATGCGGGGACAATGCCCATTGTCAAGTTCATATTTGATAAGTCCGGGTTCTCAGTTCTCAAGTACTTCAGGTTGAAGCTCGTGAAAGGTTTAGCTTGGCTAAGATTTGAGGAGGATGCAATGCCTAGTCTATTGAAGCTCAAGCTAGTTTTCAATGTTATCCCGCAAATCGACAAATATGAACATGGTATTATCAGCATTGACCATATGTCAAGCATTAGAGAGATTTGTGTGAAATTTGGGGGTGCAGCTACTGGTCGAGAACATGCCTTGGTTAGTAATCATCAGAGCAATCCTATAATCAATAGGCAATCGACGGTTTATAATTCCTTCGATGACAAGAGCACAAGCCAGAAACTACAGACATATGAGATTCTCAAGGGAGAACGAGATAAGATCGTGGAGAAAGAAAGAGATGACCATGGTAAGGAATCGAAGAGCCCAGTTGATCAAAGGTACTACTGATGTTCTTTGTAAAACAAGGAAATGTGATCTCCTTTACTTCGACTTTGATTTTTTAATTAACCTGATTTAATTCTTATGTTCTAACCGAGCTAAGTATTTGTTGCAATCAGGATTTTAAGGTCACCCGTGTCCTCTTCCCGACCACATGTCCCAGGTATGTATTTTCTTTCGACTGGCGTATTTTCCTTTAGAAAATGGAAGCTTTATTACTCTTTGCATCTACACCTATGAATGATGCATATAAAGTTGGTGCCAACAGTGATGTTTCAGTGTTCAGTTAATAGTATTACTTCTTCCACATGGTGAGATTTGGAGGCTCCTCAGGATAAACTGGGCAGCTCATCCTAATAATTGATAAAAATCTTGTCCGAAACTTACAATCCACAATTCAAGACTTGGCCTTCGTTGTCCATTATGATTTTGCTCACGTTGTCTTGCATCAACTTCAATAATATTATATAGCCGTGTGCATCCGAGAATGGGAGATTCAGGGAGGTTCAACATTGCTTTTCAGGGATAGCCCCACATCGCATATATACAAGCTAAAAGCCACAATTGTGTGATGAAAGCCATATTACAAACGAGCGAGTTTCACCTAGCACATCGCACATGTTGGCACTGGTCCCGTCGTCGACGCAGCGATCCGCTGATTACTTTCGCGCAGAACGACGAACAACGATCGACAAACTAGGTCGGAGAAACGCAGGTAGCAAGGCTAGCTTACTCCGGCGACTTGCACACGTACGTATTCTATAAGAAGGCAAGCAAGGAGCTGGATCGACCTAGCTAGCTATATCACGGGAGTAGCACACGCAGCGATATTATGGCAATAGGTGTGTGTCGCACCTGTTTGATTATTGCTTTCGATCTGGTCTGATTACAAGAGTTAGGTTGCATATATATCCTACTATCAGCTAGCCTATACATGTCCTAGTCGATGATTCAATCCTGGTCCGAGCCATCCCTGGAGACCGTATGTAATTCGAACAGGACACGGGCTTGTCTAAATGGGCCTGTGCATGACCATATAGCATAAAATTCAAGCCAAACTGTGTTAAAGACCTGTTCTGTAAAAACAAAATTCTAGTGGCGTAGTGTTAAAGACCCGTCCTGCAAAACAAGATTTATGTGTTCATACAGTAGTGACTAGACGATCAAATGCATTTTTCATTTCGGTATCTTAGTAATTCACAGCATCAAATGCATTGGTAAATTTGCAGAACACAAGAAAAAGTACTACATACCATTTAATACCCATGGTTGTTAACTCAGCGCGTCACATTTGCTAATTATGTGTGTATATGCGCAGGGATGTCTGCGTCGAAGAGGACCATGAGCTCCGCCACCACCACAGGGAAACTCTCGACGGTCAGCACCAGCACCTTCATGGCGTCGACGGTCAGCGGCGGCAGCACCGACGACGGCTGCGTGGAGGACGGCCACATCCTCGAGTCCCTGAACCTCAGGATCTTCACCTTCGCCGAGCTCAGGGTCGCCTGCAAGAACTTCAAGCCCGAGACAGTGCTCGGCGAGGGCGGGTTTGGGAAGGTCTACAAGGGGTGGATTGACGTGAACCCGGCCAAAGGAAGCGTCGCCATGGCCGTCGCCGTCAAAAAGCTCAACCCCGAGAGCGTGCAGGAAATGGAGCAATGGCAGGTGAGAGGTGATTGTGATCCTGAGGAATTGGTTGTCTTTATATTTGTTTTCTACTTCGACGAATCTCCGTGATACGATTTTAAAAAAAATGGTGCTTTCTGTTCTTAGGCAAATTTCAGTTTTCCTACAATCATTAAAAGTTAGTGATACTGTTGCCTTTTAGGTTTGCTTAAGTTGCAGTTGCCACATTTGCATGCTTGTGGCCAAGTGGAGAATGCTGGACCTTTGCATTATTTACCATGGCCACAGTACTCTGGTTGCTTATTTTGTGTGTATACTCATATACTATTATCTCACCAGTCACTGAAAATTATTATATTTATGGCCTTCTTGGCAAGTACTGTTACTAATTATTGGCAAATACTAGGATTTATGGCCTTCCGGGTTCTCAGTTCTCAAGTACCACTCTCTTATGACTTTTTGTGCATATTCGAATACTCTGCCCTCACTAGTTATTGGACATTTCATATTTATTCTATTCTTGACAAATACTAGTACTGCTTGTTGGCAAACAGTAGGAATTTGTCTCGTAGCTGTTGTTAATGTTGGAAGTAGTGCCATTTTCTAAAAAAAAAATCATTATGCATTTCTCTAAAAAGGAATTGTGTCCTTTTGATGCACTCTGTAGTGAATTTCCTTGGGAGAATTTCACACCCCAACCTCGTCAAACTGTTGGGCTACTGCATGGAGGACAACGAGCTACTACTCGTGTACGAGTTCATGGCGAAGGGGAACTTGGAGAACCACCTCTTCAGAAGTGAGTCTTTCGGCAGCAGATGACCTTTTCCAAATGATAAATATCTGAAACAGTTCTCCTTTTGTCAAACTGCCTTTTCTCTTTCTGCCGACTTGGTCCGCAAAGTAGCATGCCTTGCAGATGCTGGTGAAACTGCGACATCGCTTTCATAGCATGTTATATAGTATCAAGCACCATACAATTAACGACTAGCAATTTTCAAGGGCACGAGCGTCGACTAAATTGTCTTAACCTAAGCCAAATTCTTGCTGCTGTTGCTGCCTACCATCATTCTTGCCAGGTCAATTTGCAATAGAGGGTCAAAAGTAGGACTCAATTTTTTGTTTTTGTTTACCAGGTCTACTTTTTTGCTTAGCTGTCAAATATTATTTGTGATCAAATTTCCCATTTAGCTCGGTTTTGGTACTAATTCATCAACATCATCAGGAGGGGCCATCTATGAGCCACTGCCTTGGAGCCTCAGGCTGAAGATTCTCATCGGTGCAGCTCGTGGCCTCGCCTTCCTTCATTCGTTCGAAAGGCAGATTATCTACCGGGACTTCAAGGCGTCCAATATCCTATTAGATTCAGTATGTATTATTGATGAATATCCTATGAATCAATAACAAACTTCTGTACCTGAATAATAACCTGATCAAGCCTTCAACCATGTCATGTTCAGCATTTCAACCCGAAGCTGTCAGACTTTGGATTGGTCAAGCATGGCCCAGATGATGGGGAGTGTCATGTGACAACACGAGTCATGGGCACGTATGGGTACGCCGCTCCGGAGTATGTTTCAACCGGTATGTTTTTCATTAAACTCCTCATGCTAGCAGTCACATTACAAACTAACAATGTGCATCATCTATTCCTACCACTCACAAACACTGATCATCTTCCATGCTAGGCCACCTGTACGTGAAGAGCGATGTGTACGGCTTCGGCGTCATGCTGCTCGAGATGCTCTGCGGCTTGAGGGCACTGGACCCGAGCCGCCCGAGTGAGCAGCTCAACCTGGTGAATTGGGCGAAGCCATTCCTGTCGGACCATAGGAGGCTGACCCAGCTGATGGATGGCCGGCTCAATGGGCAGTACCATGCCAGAGGGGCCTTCCGCGCCGCTCAGCTCACTCTCAAGTGCCTGGCTGGCGAACCCAAGAGACGTCCGTCCATGAAGGAGGTCGTCGAGGCGCTCGAGCAGATCGAGGCGATGAAGAGCAAGTCCAAGTCTAGGTTGATGAGCTTCTTCAACAATAATGTCTTTAGAAAAGGGACGACGCTCAATCACCGTCGTTGCCGTATATAACCTCCCAAGGCCAAAATTTAGGTTTACACCTTGAAGAACCAGTCCGAACACATTCGAGCAATATCTCCAACAAGGTAACGCTATACAAATATCGTCATTGCCAGGTATAATCAACACATGTCATACCTAGGATTTCACCCTGGAACTCGAGACCGGGTGTTCGAGTAGCACCACCATAGCTGTCACTTATATGTTGTCACCACCACATTTCCGCAAACTCTACATGTGATGCGCAC